ACACACTTCTGCACAAAATAATTTAGTCGATATACAAAACACAGCAAGCTTGTGAAATAAGATCATGGCTATAAAATGCTATTTTACCTTCATCACATTCTTGAGTTATTAACTAGGCAGTTAATTTATACTATTTCCAAGGGCAAAGTTACCATCCTTAAGCTCTTTCCTTATTTATTTATCGAGCAAATTTATATAGCTGTTTATCTCACCAAAAGTGACTCTAGGTGGCTTACAAATAATGCAGTTGTAATATGATACCGTACCTTTTTTTACTGTATGCCAGTCAAAGAGGAGACAGTTCACAGAACTATTAGGAAGCCACATTTTGTAACACCATCCTTGTTCTCTATCAAGAACCATATAAAGCAACATCATTACTTATTCTTATTCTTTATTCTTTATTGGCCAAGTGTGATTGGACACACAAGGAATTGTCTCCGGTGCATAAGGTCTCATTGTACATACAAACAGCAAAGTGATAGATCAAGTTCATAAATAATGATTTTTAAGTCACATTCAAAAAGCAGATTAGTTTATGAGAGAAGCTACAAAAAAGCACATGAAAAATCTGAACCAACAAGGAGCACTTTTTACCCATTTAAAGGCAAACAATTGTGGGTTCCTCAGAACTTTAAGGAACATCGGAAATAATTCATTTTCTCTGCTTAAAAGTTTGGGTTTTTGCAACAACTGTGGCACTGGACATACTCCAAGCACCACCCTCAACAAATGTGGATTTTCTCAGCTTTTAATATCTTGTTAATCATTATTTGTATTGTTATCTAATAAGCCATATTCTCTAAAGATAGTGGAAAATATGTATTTTATTTTATTAGTATAAACCAATTTAAAAGCCAAGGTTTGTTTCATTCAGGGTTAACTAAGCTACTATAGAAAAGTTGATATGTCTTATGGCATAAATTGTGTTATTCAAACAACTATACCTGGATTCACACATTATACTAAACAATGGCTTAACAGAACATACAGTTCCATACATATATGTGTGGGACAAATCTTTTTTTTAACCACCCCAGGTGTTATATGTTAACAATTTGACTCATAATACCGAAATTAGCAAATATGTTTGGTTAAAATCTTGCTCAAATAAGAGGATAAGAAAAACTCAAAGCACTGGTAGATTTGTCTATGGAGATTCTCAGTCATCCAGGTCATGGTTATCTTTTCAATAGTTCCAAGAAGGCTCCACACCAATTTGCACCACTCATGTGACCCTGATGACACAGATAAACCTTCAGGTGACCTTAATGACCCACTAAAAGAATGCAAATGACCAGCTGTCTGCAAGGAGTATAAATCCTCCCATTCCCCAACATCCAGTCAGAGCTGAAGAAGCTTCTTGGATGAGAAGTGAAATGTCTTCAAAGAAAAACCAGAAAGTCCAGTTGCCTCTTGAAAAAAGCACCTTTGGGACATTGGTAGATTTGTATATTCTGATCCTTATGTTATATATTATATAGTATGCAATAGTCTGCTTTCATTTCCAGATCATAAATATGAGCTAGCCATCTTCAGTGTTCATTTATTTGTAAAATAAATGTCCCATAAAAAGATAAAAAAACATTTAAGATGGAGGGAAAGAATCTGAGATTCTGAAGAACAGTCACTGGTTTTACACAGTACGCTAAACCATGGCTTTACTTATGTTTATTAAAACAAATTACAAGCAGCTGATTTACATAACACTAATCCATTAACCACAATTTTCTAAAAAAAGTGGTAGCTTGAGATCATGTATCAAAATGCCAAGAAAAAAAAAGAGCTTAACATAATTATGTCAAACCAATATCATGGTTGTGTTCACAGATTATACTAAATCATAACCATGGTTAACAAACCACAGCATTTGTTAGCTACTAATTGAGGGAACCAAATGAAAGCAATTCAACAGGCACAACCGTAATATATGAAAACAACCCAAAATTTACATACTGTTTACACAAGCCCTATGCAAATGTATCAACACGCGAGCACGCATGCAAATGTTATTTAGAATGCTGAACAGATTAAAAAAATGAAAGCAAAAATCATGGATCTTTGTTTGGAAAAATGGAAGACATAGTTAGTTAGGGCCTCTGTGGTTATCAAAAATTGTTGCTGGAGTGAGAGACAAAAAAATAATTCAGCAAAATTGTATTGCAAGCCAGCTTGTTTGCCATTAGTAATAACACCCATAATAAAATATCTAAAAGTTGCTAATGGAACCAAGCTATTTGACTGAAATGAGGATAGATACTTAGAAATAGCATAAGAGAAAATAAAGTAAAGAACCTGTAGTACAGTGGACTAAAGCATTGTGATTAACACCAGCTGCCTGCAATTACTACAAGTTCAAATCTCACCAGGCTCAAGGTTGACTCAGTCTTCCATCCTTTCTAAGATAGGTAAAATGAGGACCCAGATTGTGGGGGCAATAAGCTGACTTTGTATAAATATACAAAAGTATGAAGGCTATTGCTTAACGCATTGTAAGCAGCCCTGAGTCTCCGGAGAAGGGCGGCATATAAATTAAAGCAAAAAAAAAAAAAGTAAGCAATTTTTAAACTGGAATAAAGGGATGGAAGCAACCAGGCCTTATAAACTGTGGACACTATCACATATTGCACTAGGGCATGATGGTTTGCACACATTACATTAGCACAATTTATGAAGCCAAGTACTATGGTTGCTAAAGTAGGGATCATACATTAGTGTACATTAAGTATTTTGTCTCTACATAACGTTAATATATTTTCTAATAAATCTGGTGGTTTACCTGCTTACATGAGGAAAAGTATACCTTTTGGGTCACAACGAGATTGTATGAATCCTATCAAAGCTGAAACTACTACTTGCAAAAGAAAAAAAATAAGCTTCTAGGTGTAATCAAACTACATGAGATGTAAAATCCAAGAGGAAACATGTGATACCTAGTGAAATAACAATGACTGCAGTTCCCATTAGTCCAAAGATGCACATGGAAAGCTTCAGCTGGCTGTGCACTACATTTTTTATATTATGAACAACAATGGGTAACTTTGTTTTCCAAAACTTCAATGGCAAATGGGAAACCTAAACATACTGTTAGAGCTCTCACGGTAGTTTATTGAAAGATGCTATTAGAAGTGCAGCATTTGTTTGTAAGATTGCTTCCAACAATAGAGTTATTTCCTGAAAATGCAAAGGAAAAAAGTAGAAGTGAATAGCAGTCTGACACAAAGCAGAACAGATGGAGGAAAGAAGATGGACCTGCTTCCTCCTCCCTTCAGCAAGCCAGGTGAGTGCTAAGGCCACTTCTGAAGGACTATGACGTGTAGATTCCTGATTCTTAACTGAAACCTTTATTTGGTAGTAAATTTGGTGAAATTTATTCCCAGGAGGCATTCCTAAATTGTGATGGTGCTTAATAAGTACAGAAAAGATTTTGCATTATTAAACCATCACACATGACATCTTTTAAGGAAAAAGAACAGATAACCTATCTGAACTTTCAAAATGTCGCTCAGGGCCAGTAAATGAAGGTTATGGATGAGAGAAAGGCATAAATGTGTCATATTTCTGGATTACTGAAGAGTTAAAATACTCCACCCTCTTGAAACCTTTGAGAATAAGGCTAATAGTGGGGCAGAGAAGACATAAGGGAATAAGTAGTTCAAAGGTCTTCATTAAAATGGCTTTAGTTTCAGATGCTCATGTTATTCATAGTGACTTTCTCAGGTACTAGTAACCCACCGTTTCTTCCTTCCAACTGATTCCTTTCACCAGCTCCAAACAGCATAAACAAACTTCGTCCTTCAACAGTTAAAACCCAGAGAAGCTGTGCTTCAAGGTCACTCTTGCTTGCACAGGCAGGCCTTGCTTCAGCAACTTTTACTGCAACGCTATTCCACTCAGATGAAAGGGAAGGGAAAAAATGTAAAGAACTCAGGTGTAACTCTTTACTTAAGACAAACAGGTAAGCCCTTTGCTATAAAAGCATTCCAGAGTACACTTATTCACCTTAATCCATTAAAGGATGAGATATCTCAATATCAGGAACATTCCAGTGACCTTCATCACTGACTTTAAAACAACCCAAAGTATTCTTATACTTATAAAAAGACACAGCAAGTTAGAAGAGAAGCAAGTTTTCAGCTATCCCACACAAACTTTTCTTCAGCTGTTGGTTAGGTTTCCTTTTTACTTAAAGTAGATCTAGATGAAACTAAGGGAACAGAGGAGCTCCTTTCCTTTCTACTTTCCAAACCCAACATAATGTAACAAAGGTCCAAAGACCATACTGGGAAATTAGCTTTATGAATTGATAGGTAACAAATTGTTATGACTCATGCTGCTTAAAACATGTCATTTTAAGAAAGAACCCTTTCAATCCTGCAGCCCCATCAGTCAAGGTACATAATATTGGGATGTGGGTGGAGACAAGGAAGAAAAAGGAATGACAGATGAAACAGATGTCAACATACAAGTACTGTTACAAATAGGTGGCATTTAATTCAGATATGCAAATATATCAGTCCAAATACTTTATATTGACACCTCGACCCCCTCCCAAGCTTGTTGCCAATGTCATCTTTCCTAAAATCAAAAGGGAAGCTGAAGAACACTCTGCTTACATTTTTTTTTGCCTTCCACAAAAGCTTCTGTGCATTTCAAAAAAGACAAATTACTGGAAAGTGGATGGGAGAAGAGTTCCAGCTTTTTTGACCCTGATTTTATGCAAAAACAAAAACCTATGCATCTCTGACCAAAACTGTCTTCGTTTTCACAGCTATTAAAATGGGGGAGAGAGAGAAAGAGAAAGAGAAAGAGAGACAGGCTGGGCTTAAGCCAAGGATAGCAAGGTAAGATAGGTGCTCCCTTAAGCTTGCCAAGCAAGGGGCCATTTTCTGAGACAGTTTCAACTTATCTGCACTTTGGGATTTCAGGACCACTCCGAGGATTGCTACATTAGGAAAGCAAAACAAAAGCAATGCACACAAAAAAAAAAACTAACTTACCGGGGATAGCGTTAATTTTACAGGCAGCTAATCATGCCTCCTCTGACAGAGCTAATTTAGCCATTTCTAGTCCTTCTCCACACACAAAAAGAAGAGGGGAAGAGAGACGTGGAGCAAAGAGGAAACAAAGGCAGCAGGAGATGCAGGCCAAGCTCTCTGGAGTGTCCACTGTGGTGCAAAACTGAGCAGCTGCCCTCCCAAACTATTCGCCATTTTTCTTTGTCTTTCAGCTGACCCCTGCCTCAGTGCAAAACTCCCAGGGACTCCAATGAGACACGGTGCAGCCTCCTTCCACTTTAACGGTGAAAGGCATTCAATCTAGCTTGCTACCCGATACCGAACCTCCCCTCGGCCGGCCCCTCGTTGGCTAAGCGCCTTCCTCGAGGAGTCCCCCGCAAGCGGATTGGCTGCTCCGCTCGTCACTTTAAACCCTCCTTTGTACACTTCCTGCTTTGCAAGTTACCTTGAGAAGGCAGAACAGGGGTCAGACGCGGAGACTTCAAGCCAGGAGCAACTTATGTAAAAGGCGGATCTCCGTGAAGTGGAGGCGCTCCAGGGTCACAATGGAGCAAAGCGGGGCGGGCAGGCGAGCGGGCGGGCAGGCGAGCGGGCGGGGAGGGGGGGAGGAGGTGCAAAGGGGAAAAGCAGATGAAATGGAGTCTATTGAATAGACCAGGGGTCTCCAACCTTGGCAACTTTAAGACTTTTGGACTTCAACTCCCAGAATTCCTCAGCCAGCTTTGCTGGCTGAGGAATTCTGGGAGTTGAAGTCCACAAGTCTTAAAGTTGCCAAGGTTGGAGACCCCTGGAATAGACGATCTTTGGCGTGGCTGACCCTGGAGGGGTTTTTTTGGGGGGGAAGGAGATTTTTTGGGGGGGAGTTTCTTTCTTAAAAAATGATTAAGGTTCCATGTTTTGAAGGGTTTAAGGGGCATTGCGGTGGGATCCGGGGGCTGTTCCTTGAAAAAGGCAGCTTGGCTTTTTATAAGTGCCTTCAGAAATAGTGCTTTAAAATCGTGAGCCAGAAAAAAAACGAGGCAGGAATCCCCAAGGTTTGATTTTTAGAGCCTCGGTTTCGCCATCACCAATAATGGGGAATTCAGGCGGGGGGGGGGAGGGGGGGATGTGTGCAAATGCTCAGTTTCTCTTCTCTTCCCCCCCCCTTTTAAAGTGGTCCTTAGGCGCTCCTGGGATCTCCCCCATCCCCATAAGCTCTCATCCTGGCTCAGCAGTTTACCAACCCAGCCGATTTCTTGGATGAGGGCAACTCTCTTTCTCAACCGCATCTGTGTTGTTTAAATGGCAAGCAGGGCAGTTGTGTTTCTGGTGGCGAGGCTGTGTTAAAACGAGGGATGGGTTGGGCTGGCCGTTGGAATGAAAGAAGAGGGGGAAAGGGGCAGGACCAGTGAAGAGAAACGGAAAGGATAAGAGGGAAGGCACAGCAAAGAGGTCTTGGCAACATCCCCAGAGGTGGCCTTAAGGTTTCCTTTCAAAGTTCTTCCCGAACACTCTTGAGTATTGATCGAAACTTAGGCTTTTCCTTTACAAAAAAAGGATTTAAAAAAAAAAATGTATTGTGAAATGCAGAATTCCTTGCTTGGGGGCTAACCTCAAACTTGCAAAGTTATTCAAACCATTCAGAAAATAAAATAAATAAATAAACATAATGCATACATTTCATACACAAAATGCCCTGAGATTATACATATTTTAGGTAGAATCCTCAAGGGTGTAATTTAAAACCAAGATGGGGTGAGAGGGGGGAACACATCAAAAAACTCAGGCGATTTATATTAATCTTTGTTTTCAACTGCATTTGCATTTTTTTTAAAAAAGGTATCCTTAATATATCAGTTGGTATAATGTAGCAACTGCATTGGTACAGTCTCTGCATCAAGTTTTCTAACTTTGGAACTCCAGAAGTGTTGAACTACAACTCTTGAGTATCCCAGATCAGCAAGAGGTCAGGGAGGCTGTTCTAAATTTAAATCACTATATCTATTAGATTCCTCTTAAAAATAAAGTTCTAAGTTAGTGAAGAAATGGTACTATGCAACACCTCAAAGTATTTTGTAGTTTAGAAGTCAGCTAAATTATAACTAAACCTAAATAGAAGATTGAAAAGGCAGCTGAAATGTTCATAAAAAGGCAGCAAACAAATGTCATCTTAAATTATGGAAAAGGGCCATAACTAGGAACGGAGAGGCAGTCCAAGATGCACACAAGGAGAGCAAAACTACTTTCCTGCATTTCAGTAGCAAAAGGTTACTAGGAAACAGAGAATCCCAGGCTTCAAGGAAGAAGAACTGTGAATATATAAGAAAGCAGTTCAGAAAAGTGGGTGGTGATGATGAATATCTTATATTTTCATTTCTGTGAATAGTTGGGGGGGGGAATCTAATTCTTTCAGCATTTCTCAAACTTGGCAACTTCAGATGTGTGGACTTCAATTCCCAGAATTCCCCAGCCAGCTCTGGTGGTTGCTGGGGAATTCTAGGAGTTGAAATCCACACATCTGTAAGTTGCCAGGTTTGAAAAATACTGATTTGCTGGAGGGTTTACATCTAGTCCAGGGCTGTCAAACTCGCGGCCTGTAGGCCGGATGCGTCACGCTCTGGCCACACCCATGCCCGGTTTAGCGAAGGGGGGAAAAGCCGTGATACGTCACATGACATCACCGTGACGACAGCCCTGATCTAGTCCAAGCAACACTTCCAAATACGGTAAGTAGCTGAAGAGACTCTCTTGTCATATTATCAGTTGACCACATTTCTATAAGACGTTTTCTAAAACTCAAATCATTTCAAGTCAGGAGAAAGGTCATTTTTCCCCACCTTTGGATCAAAAGTTTATTGTGGAAATAAACAATACAAAGACACAATACAAACAGAACTAAGTGTGTCGCAGACTTGGAAGAGGTCTGGAAAATTCAAGACTTTCTCCAGCACTCCATGGTGACTTCAACATGATTTGGCTCAGTTGTGTGTATGTGTGTTTGATAATTATTTAAAGAGAAGTGACAGCATATCAGCTACTGTAAAAAAGGTTGGGGTGCTGTTACATAGCCCTGACAGTAGCTATGAGAGACTTCAATCATCTAGCACTAGAAGATAAGTCACTTACACATGGCTCATGCCAAACTGACTGATGCAGATTGTACAAATACGTTCCTTGTCTTCCTGATGTTACAGCATCCCCACTTTTCCAGGCAAACAGGTCTACCTGATCTGCCATTATCTAGTCCCACTTTTAGACTTAGAATAACTGTATTGTCACTTTGAATGTACACTAATCAACATACATTAAAATGAAATTTCATTACATACAGCTCTCAAGGGCTCTCCACCTCCAATATACACTACATAAACATGACTAAATAAATAAATGCAAAATTATGCATATACCCACATATATATTTTCTGGTCCTTTGCTTGTGCCAGAATCAGCACTTAGCTGCAACCTTTGTTGGTGCTTAATCAAGTTCCGACATATGTTTTCTCTTGAAATTGCTCAAGCTTTTAAAATGAGCTTTGCACCTCCTACTTTTAAAGTCTTCAGATATTAAGTGATCAATTATATTTTATGTAAAGAGCATTTTAAATTCTCCAATAGCAGAGAGAAAAGAAAAAAGTTAAAATGAGTTTGACCTACAACAGCCAAACATTTGGAAAGTAGTAATATTTCAATAAACAGTCCAATTCAGCACTAATTCTCAGTGAACAATGGAATAAGTGAAGATATACTGAACAATTGCCTACATGATATCTATTTTTAAGTGAACTAGATTTTTAAAAACTTGCAAAAATTACTGATGTAAAACACTATCATTAACAGAAAAAAATCCTTTTGAAAATATTACTGTAGCCCATCACAGCTTATTCGGTAGCTTATTCAGATAACCATGGTGCTGACTTCAATACAGGCTTTAAGATAGGTGGAATTCAGCTCACAGAATTTCCCAGAAAGCTGTGGTATGCTAGCTGGAGAATTCTGGGAGTTGAAGTCCACCTATTTTAAAAATTGATGAGTCAGAAACCCTGCTTTAAAATTATGGGCAAAACTCATTATTGCTCTGGACCACAGTATAAAAATAAAGCTCTCCATGTACACAAAGCCTGCTGGATACATAAATGCCTCAAAAAAATGCTGCAGTGTCAGAAGACACTACAGTTTTCTCCATCCCAATAAATTGATCTGTTTTGATGCAAAACAAAAGATGGGTATCAAGCAAGCAATCTGGTCTACAGCCAAGATATAACCTTACCTCTAAAGAAGAGGAATGGAGAACTGGAAGAGATCAGGAGACGTGTTTATGGAAAGAGAGGCAGGAATGAAATGAAGGTGGGGGGACTAAAAGGAAGGAACCTACCTGGAGAAGACATACTCACATAAACATGAAAGCACAGAAGGGTAAAAAAAAAAGGCTTTTGAATTAGAATACAACTCAATGTATGTTTAATTGGAAATAAATCTTGTATAGGTTTAATTGTAATTAGTATACAGCTGTATTAAGAAGAAAGGGCAAAGAGGAAGTTATGTGTCACCACTACTACATGAGCTGAACTCGCTGCCAGGCAGAGTTGATATTTGATCAATGGCCCATTTTTTTTATTGTTTTTGCTTAGATTATTTTAGTCTGGGCTGCATGAGTCAATATTATTAGCTGTTTCTGTTTTCACTAGTTTTGTATGCTGCCCAGAGTCCACTGGAGTTGGGCGGCCAGTAAATTTCAATAAACATTTAATAAAAAAATTAAGCATAAGCTCTCATGAGATGCATCTATGTAACTGCCATGTCTTTCCCTCCATTCTTCTCTCTGTCACCTCCCCCAAATGAAATTAAATCCCACATCTGTCAAGCCATTCTATGTACCTGATGAAGTGAAGGTGGGAGCGTATCACTCTCCGAGACAAATGGATCCAGAAGAATTTTGGAACACCTTGAAAGTTCCCAACAAACTGAACTATGTGCATTATCAATTAGAAGCATTATTTTCTTCAGCACAGAATAGAAACTCTTGACTTAGGGTTATGAAATTCTTGAACTGATAACTAGATGACAGAAACCGGGCTGTGCAAATAAGACCACCTCTCCACAGAACCGGACAATTGGGGGCTGCTGCTTTACAGTATGCTAAGACCAAAGGGAGGTAAGAAATCAGAGCATTACCCAATTCTGTTTTAGGATAGCTATTCAAAAGTGGCCTTGGTAGATACATAAATTATATATTTAGAAGTGTTTAAAAGCTAGAATCGAGCTAAAATGTAACTTCTGCAAAGTTAGCTGACACACACTTAAGGTCAT